CCAAGTTTCTAAAATCTTTGCAGCAGTCTAAAATGTTGGGTCTTAATTGGGCCTTTCCCCATAGTTCGTATCATTAACCTTGTCATGGTGGAATTATAACTCCCATGCTTTCCATTGTAACTTATTGAAGCCTGAAGTCACCTCTGATCTTCATCCGGCTTCTACCCCTGTTCCACCCCCAATTATGGTAGAGGGTGAACAACATTTTGAGATTCAGGAAATTCTTGACTCTAAGAAATTCCATGGGACCACTCAGAACCTAGTGGCTTGGAAACATTTCCCCTTCTCACACAATGAATGGTTTCACAAAAAACATACACATGCCCCAGATTAGTACATATATTTCATCACTTGTACCCTGACAAACCTCGTTGATTTGTTTCCTTTGTCTCCCCTTCTCTGTTTTTTTTTAGGTGGACTTCCCATTTTTCTATGGGGGAGGAGCATGTCAGGTCCCAGATATTTCTACAGGGACGCTGGCATTTTGGTGGGAGGAAAGGGGAGGAATGGAGTGATCTGTATATGAAGCTTCTGTTTCTGTTTCCTGCATTACTGTGCTAATCTCTCTATGAAGTTTCTGTTTCTTGCATTACTGTATCAATGTCTATAGTTTATGTTTCCCTGCAATGATGTAGCGTGGAAGGGGTTTGGTTAGCATTGCTTTATAAGCTGGTTTTAAGTTGAGAAGCTTCAGTTCTTGCCTAGATCTCTTGTTAACACAAACCTTTCAATAAAAGCTCCTTTTGGAACAACCACAGTTTCAAGAGTCCTGCTTTCTTGGGAAGATTGGAGAGGCAAGACCTTACACTTTATCTGATGGCATCATTGGAAACTAGGTGTCCTGAATTTAACCTAGTCATAACATAAATATCATCAGTACTTCAAAAGATTTTCACATCTTTTTCAGTAGCATATTGAGTGCCATCTATCCTGAGGGATTCATCATTCAGCACTATAGATTCAGTGATTTTATCTTGCCTTTCCATGTGGTTTTCTTGATTAAATATAGCAATGTTTTACTATTGCCTTCTATGCGCTATTGAAGCTTTGCCATTATCACTCAAGATAATGTCTCCAGCATCTGCCTATATGGGTAGTGCCCATTAGAGGTGCCTGCTTGCTTCACCTGGCTAGCTGGAACGATCTTGGTGACATCACTGGCATTCTGTATTCTTGGCATGCATTCCTTGCCTTTCGTCCTTCCCAAGAACACTCTATTGCAGGGGTGTTAAACTCGATTTCATTGAGGGCTGCATTAGGGTTATTTTTGACCTCGGGGGGCAGGGAAAGCTTGGCCAGGGTGAGCATAGCCAGCTTGACATCACTTTTGTCAGGGGCACCTGTGGCCCAAGCAATCTGCCAGCAAAAATGGTCTCCTGGGCTCCGTTTTTGGCTATGATGGTCTCCTGCAATCCTCTGCCAGTGAAAATGGAGCTTGCGAGGGCCTCGCCAGCTCCGTTTTTGCTGGTAGAGGCACCATGGACCAATCATTTGTTGTTTCCAGGAAGGCCCTGTGGGCCAGATCTAAACACCCCATAGGTCTGATCTAGTCTGTGGGCCTTCAGTTTGACACTGTCTCAACATCAATGAAATGGTGACCAAATACAAAATGGGACTCTATTCAACTGGACCCAAATGCATTCTAGAATGCTTGAAGGAATGTAATTACACTCTTGAAGAAGTTACCAGAAAAACAAGTTACCACAAATTATTACATTAACATCCTCCCACAAAAAATTTTAACTTTAAAAATGGAAAATATTCTGCAAAGCAATTTTTTAAAATATGTTTACGAAAACCTTTAAAAAGAAGCCACCTTTAATTACCTGCACTATAGAAAGCTCCCTGAGTTCAGCAAGAGGGAGTGGAGGGAGTCTCAAAAGTGATCTGTTGGAGTACACCAAACATTGAAGATTGGGGGCAATAAGTCCAAAGCAATTTTTTCTTTTTGGCCTCTTTTCTATATTCTGAGTAGTTGCATGGGCTGGAGGGAGTCACTGAGTTATTAAAAAAAAAATGATCAAGAGGCATTTGTTATAGGGTTAAAGAACCCAGCACTGATTTGCTGGACTGGGCTTCAGAAATATGATTTTGCCTAGCAAGAATCTTCCCACCCCATTCCTGCTTTAAATAGGTAATTGTTTTCTTGGTATATGCTTCTGAAATATTTTAGAGAAGTATTTAGAGTAGAATTAGTTAGCCTGATATTTAAACTGGATTTGGCATTTTTATTCACCTAATGAGTCCTTCCCAAAGACCTGAGATAGGCAGATGTTGATGTTTGACGGTGTTAGGGGTATTGTCGCAGGATGTAAACTGTTCTGAGGAAAGCTGGCTTTTGCAATTGACTGATGGTGAATTTGTCATTGCTGATGGTATTCAAATGGTGTTCCAGTTGTGTTGGGATTGCACCCCAGGCAATTATAGGTACTTTCTTTGCTTTCTAGCAAAGTTGTTCTATTTCTATTTGCAGGTCTTATATTTTGTTACCTTTTCCAGTTCTTTCTTTGCTATTCTATTCTGCTGTCTCCTGGTACTACTATGTCCACTATCCAGACTTTTTTTTGTCTTATCAACAGTTGTTAAGTCTGACCTGTTATGCGGCAGGTAGGTTCAAGGTTCAAGGTTCATTTTATTTATATGCCGCCCTATTCCCAGAGGGACTCAGGGCGGCGCACAAACCCAAGGAGGGGAAGGGAAACACAAAAACTACAACAAAAAGTACAGGGCATTTAAAACAACCAACAGCCACACGATTCGAGAGGGGAAGGAAACTCATCGACCCCCAGGCCTGCCGACACAGCCAGGTTTTAACGGCTTTTCGGCAGGCCTGGAGAGAGGTGAGGGTCCGAATCTCTGCGGGGAGCTCGTTCCAAAGGGCCGGAGCCGCCACAGAGAAGGCCCTCCCCCGGGTAGTGGCCAGATGACCTTCCTCTCCTTTCTTCTTCCATCTAACTTATCTCCTCCTCCTCCTCCTCCTCTTCCTCTTCTCCTATTCCTGTATCTATCTTCTTCCCCTCCTTCCACTTCCTCCCTTTTTCCTTTTCCTCCTTCTCTTCCCCTCCCTTTATTTTTCCTTCCCTCCCCTCCTCCCCCTCTTCTTTTTCCTCTTCCCCTCCTCCTTCAAACAGAAAGCTGAGGCCAGAGGAAT